GATTTATACTATTTATATAAAAAAATTACATTAATATTTTTAGTTTTTTGCTCCATTTTTTGTTTTTGTTGTTTTTTTTTTCTTTACTTTTTTTTTCTGTTTACAGTTTTTTTAAGAAGTATGTGATGAGAGGAGATTGTGTTTTTTTTTAAATCAATAAATAAGTGATTATTAAAATAAATTATGTAGGTATATATATATTATGTATATTATACATATGTATATATTATTTTTCATTATTTAACATATTAAAGTCTTATGATTTAAAATATTTATATAAACAAATTACATTAACTATTTTTTACTGTTTTTTCTGTTTAGTTTTTAAACATACATTTTGAATTTTCAAATTTAAATGAATTTCAAATGAAATGTAAATGAAAAAAAAAACAAAAAAAAAAGTAACGGTATGGTTTTTAATGCTCCATTGTATATCATGTGAAGAATCATAGACAGAATAAAATAAATTAAATATAATATATTTTTTTGTTGTTTATATTTTTATGTATAAAATTTAAATATAGAAAAAAATATCGAAAATTATGCAAAATGCTTATAGGGGAAAAAAGGACAGGAATTTCTACGGAGATTTGTCAGCTATTATAATAATATTCTATCTCAGAGTTGTGTATCGATCCTCTTGGTATTGAAGATGGAACTATTCCAACTGAACAACTGTCAGCATCAAGTGAATTCGATTTAGCGTACGGGGCACATCGTGGACGACTGAACACTGCAACAGATAGTGGGGGGAAAGGAGCATGGTCTTCAAAAACCAATGACCAATACCAGTGGATCCAAGTTGACCTCGGTAAACTGCATAAGGTACGCGGAGTAATTACACAAGGCCGCAACAGTTACGATCAATGGGTGACGTTTTATGAGATTCTTTACAGTGTTGATGGTGACATTTTCCAACCAATCAGGAATTCAGACTGTCAAGTATCGGTAAGTTTTATTAGGACATTTTCCCTTATACATTTAAATATCGAATCATTAGACGTTTACTATATAATTTTCAAACAAAATGTATTGACAAAAAAGAAGATGGACGTTTCGAGTCCATCATGGATACATTCTCAAGATCAAGTGAGCAACAATATACAAAAGTAGACAAAACCTACTTTTGTATATTGTTGCTCACTTGGTCTTGAGAATGTGTCCATGACTAACTCAAAACGTCGATCTTCTATTTTATCAATAAATTTTGTTTAAAAAAAATTGAAATATATTTATTTTTTATTTTCTATTGACATTAATCAACCTGCATGTTATTAATCCAGTGGCGTAAATAGGTTTTAGCTGGTTAACAGTGTACAGACGGCCGCGGGACCATAGGCACATATAAATTGGCTACTGGCTAACAATACACAGTTTATACTTATTTATTAACAAAATTAAACTTCACTAATAAAAACCATAAAATTATTGTATTATTTCCTTCGCATCAAACAGCACGTACACTCGTCACTTACAGGGTGGAATGATGCTTTATAAACCTCTTTTACAAAGTTTCTTCATGAGGCTTTGGAATGGAATTGTTTTGATACTAAGAAAATTTCTTGGTGTGACAGGAATTGAACCCAGGACAAAGGGATTAGAAGACAAGCATCTTAACCACTAAGCTGTTCAACTCCACTCCACTCGTTCAGTAATCTAAAAATGTTATTTTTGTTAGTAAAACTTTTAAAATCATCAAAAAATAAATCAATGGAATTGTCTTTATATTTAAAAACAATTTACTCTTTTAATGAATTAATTCATAGTAAAGCTATTTAGGCAGAAAGATCATCGAGGTTCCGAACACTACGAAAGTGTATTTTATTTTATTTGTTTATCTTTGCTGAAGTAATCCATAGTACTATCTCTCCCCAGACACTATCCTAGTATTTCTAAATCTAAGATTCATAGCAGGAGTATTCATTACTCTACTATACACTATACTTTGTACTTTCACTATATTAATCTATAGTAAAACTGTCTGCTCCAACCGGACAAGATTCAGGTATTCATAATATTCATGAAAGTAAAAGTACCGGTACAAAAATACGATCATTTAAAGAGAAAGAAAAAAAATCATACATTTTGTTTGATGGTGTCAGGGGTGAATCCACAACTTTTCAAACGGTTGGTGGGGGATTTTGGGACACAGTATGTTCAAAATAGAAAGGGAGTAGCACTGATTTCAATATTATAATAATAATAGTGTAGTTTTATATAGCGCACATATTAATCTAATGTAAGATGCTCAGGGCGCTTGATATGTAGACTAGGAACTCGATCAATAAATTTCTTCGCCCCTCAGGGTCTCTTCGTATCTGTGCCACCTGGTAACCCAATACCAGCAATTCTCGTCGTCCACCACAGGGGCTGTCTGTTCCAACACACCGGGGTATCCCCCTATTCGTCTTGAAGGATATACTGGGTTCTTTATAGTGCACACGAGCCATTGTATACACTGGGACTACGGTTTATAGTTCTTATCCGAGAAGACTTGTTCTACCACCAGAACCATAGGCGAGCGTGCCGTTCGAAACAGCGCCGATATTATGGCTATAGCTTGCGGCGCCCCTGCTAACCGCTCGGCCATTCGACTCAATATATGCCATGAAATTTTAAAACTTAGTGGCGCAAAACGCCCGTGCCCTACTGGTTCCGTGCCTGAGTATTATGTGTTTTTGAAACACATGTGTTGAATTCGTGCTTTGTTATAGTATTGGTAATTAGTACTGGTAATGTGGTAGACATATTAGGCCTAATTCAGGCTATAGTAAAGCGAGTCCAATCAGGAATCAATTGGCCAAAAAAGTCGTTACAATTAAGAATAGAGAACGAACAATTTGTCTGAGAAAATATAAGTTGTTTATGTGAGTCATGCACTAAGTTTGATCTGAATGTCCTGAAGGTGGGATAGACCTACTGTGTGCCTAAATCCGTGCTGAATTAGTTTACATACAGTTTTATATAAAGCATAGGCCTATAATCAAATGAGATGTTATGTATGTCTGTTTTTGTTCTAGGCCTGTACATTAATTTTATTAAAATCTATATTACGCATATTTCATTTTGCATGGGATTGCGCCAAGGACTGCGGTTCCCCTGCACGTAGGTCAGAGCCTTGGTTCACAGAGCCGTTTGATAAATCACCGGTAGATACGCCACTCACAGGGCCACCACGTCTCACAACTTTTCAGTGGGGACGTCCAGCAGCCTAACCTGAGCAAATTTCGTTTTTCCAGACACATATCTTCTGTTGAGAAATTTGACAACCAAAAAAAACTGCAGGTTTTATGCGCCCCCTATTTCCTTTTTATTTGTTTCGGCAATATACAAATAGGTTGTGTACCAGTCACAGCAAGTAAACACTGGCAATTACTTAGAGCGAAATACCTAGGCCTCTGGAAGTCCCCCAGTTGTAGTTGCCAAGTTTCTTTGAAATTTCCATTTAAAATTTAGCAAAAATGGTGTGTGTATGAAAAATCTGTTGGAAACACAATATTTACCTTTATGTAATAATTCTAGAAGTTTGTTGGAAATTCGGATGAAGACACTACCGTGACAAACATGTTCTCTGAGCCTATCTACGCGAATTTCGTCCGTATTCATCCAACTGACTGGTACAGACACATAAGTTTAAGATTTGAGATTCTTGGATGCCCAAGAGGTAAATTAGAATGATAGGCCTATACCAATTCCATTTTAAATTAATAATTGTGTACTGTGATAATGGTGATGTTATAGTCTATAATATTGCTGGCAATAACGTTGACGACATCATTAATGATGGTGTGTGTGTATTTGAAGGCGGAATGTGCATGTATGTGTTTGTATACACATGCGCGTACACCCATATAGACGGATCAGCGTATGTGCGTAAATGTATGTATGTGTATAAGAGACAGTATGGGGTGTGGGTGTGCGTTTGTGTGTGTATGAACATTCCAGGATAAAAATTATACTATCATTTACTTTATATTTTTCCCCTTTTAAGATCTTAATACATTAAGAAGTTATTTAGTCTAATCCACTAATGTAAAATATAATTAGGTATTATTTAGAAGATAAATGAAACTGAACTGAACTAAACTGATGATAATGATGGTGTGGATAATGATAACGATAGTGTTATTGCGGTAAATTATGTTGAAAATAACGATTATATCACGATTGAATTGAAGTTTCACTCAATTTCAATACAAATTTTGTGACAGGGGTTGTCATGGTCTTTAGCAGCATTGGTCTTTATTTAGTATATTAAATATAATTAGCTAATATGGGACCACAGAAAAGAGGTCTTTAATTGGAAGTGTTTAATTGCAGGGTCTTTAATTAATTGGTGACTTGTTTTAAAACGCTTAAGTATCATTAAAATAAGTATGTATCTGCTTTAAAACGTTATTCCATATATTGAAACTTCTTTTATCCGAGACAGTACATTTTTCAGTAATCAGTTGTTAGCAAATGAATAAATTTGAAGTGAAGAACATAGTCTTATAAAAAGTAATTGTATTTACCTCTATATTTCTTTTTGTGTAGGCTCGCAGTTGGTTGGACACTCAACTTATTACAAATCTTTTCGTCAAAATTCACAACGTTCAATAATGACCCGGAAGTCGAGCGGAAGTTGCATTAGATGCGCAGTGGAGTGTATGAGGACGCCAGAATTCAAGTACTTTAAATGCGACGGAGGATGCCGCCTTTATACTTGCAGTAACGATGACAATTTTGTTGGTTTTCAGATTGGTTGAAATGGCTTTTCCACTATGTTCTGCACTTGGATAAGGTCTCAAAAATGTAAACGACTTGTTTTAATATGGCATGCACCTAATTATTTTGTGTCCTGGTCCTGATTGGTCAATTGTAAGTTTGATCATTCAAGAAAAATGGTAAATTTTGTAAATTTTGTTCCAATAAACTTCATTCCTTAAGACTTAAATAATCAAAACTGTGTGTAGTAATTTTAATTAGATTTGATTTCTTCATATCTATAATCATGATGATGAATAGCTGACAATATTTTGGATTTCGCCATGTCTACATTCTTTAGAAGAGAATATCATATATGAAGACCTTCGATCTCGTCATATCTTAGTACCGTAGATACGATTTTTGATTTCTTCAAGTTTACATCCTTTAGAAGAAATGTTCATTTGACGAGATCATGGATATTGTACTGCCGACGTTTTTTAAAAGAGATGATAAGATTACAGGATCCTGGATCTCGTCATGTAGACATCCATTAAAAGAGAAGATTAGAAGACAAGATCATGGATCTCAACATGTCTGCATCCCTTATAAGAAATGATCAGATGACGAGATCATATCTCGTAAAAGAGATGATCAGATGACAAGATTCTTGATCTCATCATATCTACATCCTTTAGAAGAGATTATCAGATGATAAAATGCTGGATCTCGTCATTTCTACGTCCTGGAAAAAATTATCATGTTACGAAATGCTTGCACCTGTTTTTGTACATACTTGTTCAATACAGCATATGCCACTAAATGTACTTATAAACTTATAATCTTTGTTCGGTGTCGCAACCCCCAAACCAAGTTGCAGGCTGAACGGGTGACCTTATTATTAGTTTAGTTTCTGAAAGTACAGAAATTTAGTACAAAATGCTCTTTAGTTTTCTCTCAAGGAAGGAAATAAAAGCTCGCATTTTGAACACATCTAATGAGGCGAATAAAATGCCGATTTGAGTGGAAAATTCAATTTTAAAAAGAAAATTAATTATAATAAGTCATATATCTTTGCGTGACTTTCCGGAAATTTTTGATTAGAATATGCTGCCATATTTTGTTCTATTCACATGCTTTTAGATTTCCCCGCGCAAATCCCTGCCTATTCTTTAGGTAGATTTCAAATGTGATAAACACAAATCGAAAGGATTTCTTATTCCAGATTTTACATAAATTCAGTAAAACTAGGCTACAGAAACACAACAAACAGTGTTAGGTAAACTACGGTCGTCTCTTCTTCTACATTATCACACCGTACAACATTATGCTTAATGTGTTAGTTGTTACGCCTCACCAAAATTATAAATATTTTTTTCTCAGCTAAACAAAAACATATTCACTACCGGTACACAAAATCTTTCAGAATGAGAATTTATTTTGACTTTTATCTTGTAAAGTGTTCAACGACATGTGTTAACGTGTAAGGGCCGACCTTTTTTTAATTTAATGTATCACGTGTTTAAATAATACTTTAATTTTTCTTTTTGCAGCATTTTAGCACGAGAACAAAATCGAAATATTCTACGTAAATTTAAACCATTGGCCAAATAATAGTATACTGTGACGCGATTAACCGATGATCGATGTTTTTATACCGACGATAATACAATAAAATTGATCAAATAATCAAGGAGTTGTTAATTACAGTATTTATCATTATCTATTTTTAATTAATACTAATCTTATTGACCTTTTAGACACTGGTAAATATTATTATTTAAAGAAGATTATACACATTGTTTAAAGTAGATAATATACACAGCGCATTAAGGCCAACTCAGACAGCGTCGGCCGACGCAGCCCGACGCGATTTATCGTCGGGGACAGTCTTAAGCCGTCGAAATATTAAACATGTTAAATATTCTACGACGCGACTGCCCCCGACGCACACCATCGCGTCTGCGTTTAACTCACACAGAACCGACGCGACAACAAATCGCGTCGGGCTGCGTCGTACGACGCTGTCTGAGTTGGCCTTTAGACGTTAAAGACCATGTCTACATTTTGGTGAGAGCATTCCAAGGAATTGCATGGTTCAACTGCCGTAGCATCTAATTTGTTGATATATTTATCCATATTAACAGTGTTTTCTCACAATTAAAAACAAACGTATTAATTTACACTATGACCTTGGCTATGATTTACTAAATATCCATAAATAACGACATGGTTGTAAACTGGAATATATAAATGTTCTTAAACTAGGTTACAAGATCCCCAATAAAGAAAGTAATAGACCATGACAATAAGATGATCGTACAACATTAAATCTATAACGAGAGGTAAGATAGCTACGCTGATGATTTGCCAACCTGTGTAATGGAATTTACAAAGTACAGCGGATATTACTTAAAACTTCAAAGTATAATAGTCTATAAATTAAAATCAAGAAGTATATATATGATTCTGAAATTGCAAAATGCACTTTTGATTTTAACGCTCTAAGCGATGTTAAATGTTTTCAACATATTAAATTACATTTTAAACGTAATTAAAAATGAAAGAGGTAATGGTTTTCAATATCTTGATCTATATTGTTGATCTCACTTGTAGCATTTGTGGTACGTTAAATGTTTCTTTTATGTTTCACATTCTTTAAGATGTTTTAATATTGGTTTCGAATATATGTGAATAATGTGAAAATAATACACAGAAGAGGGCGTATCTTATAGATCTCTGGCAGTCTAGTCACATGCAATTATGCTATATGAACATTTTGACGTCAGACACTTTAGGCAATGAACTAAAATTATACTCTCTCTTGCGAAAGGTCCCGAGTTCGATTCCAGGTGGTG